TTACGGGCGCTTATGGGACGATGGCAGCCCATGTGGTCTGCCACTTAGTAATCACATGCCATTTCCATAGTGCAAAAGTCTTTGAACATTTTTAACCATTCTATTTCTAACCTTGGCTCACGCCAGACATTTCGTCCATTTCACATACTGTACTGTAGCGGTTGCCCTACATCACCCCCTCCCCACTTTGAGTTTTGTCTTTACTGCGCGCTCAACACTGCATTTATTGATACCGTACCACCTTCATCAGTTCTTGGAGCAGTGGACTCCTCTGTAAGCATCTGAGTACCTAACTCTCCTTGAAGTGGCTGTACTTCTCACTCTTCTCACTACGTATTCTCGCCATCACTCCCCATCAAAAATCGATATCCATAAGATGTGCTTCAACAAAACAACTAAATTCTTCCTATTCCACTGGGTTATTCTTCCTATTCCCCTGGGTTATTATGCTGGGTTGTGAACAAAACTTTCGCCCTAGGCAGGACTAGAAACCGCACCTCTCGGTTTCCATCACCAGTTTCTTCTAAGAGTGAGATTAAACATCGGACATTGACCCTTTCCGGATCGCGCCACGCACCCTGTGCCCATTGATACTCATACTGATACCGATCTCGGTGCGATTTTTCACAATGAATTCCGAGGCTCGACCATCGTCTGAATGGGCGTTTATATCCTCCCAGAATCGAATGCCCGTTCCGAAGACATGGGAACTTTGAATGGGGAATGTCACTGAGACCAAATAAAGCTCCGGTATTTCCTTCACTATGAAATTAGCCCATGTTTCAGCATATAAACAGAAAGGACTAACCATAAGCACCGTCTGTTCTGACAAAGACCAAGCACAATAACTTTATTATAACAAGCCCACTCCTCAGAAAGATATCAAATTAGTCAGATCAATTCCTAAGATTAGAAGGTAGCTCAAAGTCATCAGAAGGACAGTCAGGCATCTGCTTAAAAAACGTAGAACTACAGGATACATTCATTAGCTACTGTCACGATGCAAAATAAGATTCTGAGCACACGAGAACAAACCTCACCAGAATTCTGACTATTACTAAAGGCAATGAAACACGATGGCAACCAGCACAATGCTCCGCTTCCCAGCCATCAAGTTCACTGCCTTCAACTTCTTACCAAAACTTACCACAGAAGGTCCAACTAATAGGAAACTACAAAAATCCTACACTAAGAAAATATGCATAAACCCTTGTCTAAATTTAGTCCATGTTGCGAATGCGAGCACAAACATCTGCCGTGAACGACGAGCACGTACCACTACCTGGAAAAAATGGATATTAAGTGGAGCAGATATTTGACCAAATTGGCCTTCCAAGATGTCCACTTGCATCTGTAAAATCGAAAAAAAAAACAGATTTTTGGATTTTGTTTTGAAAAACGGTGTCTCAAAAGGCATCGGCGTTTGATAAATAAACAACAAAAAATCACAGACTGAGACCTTGGCGGGAGCACGCGTCAGCGCGCGGTGTTGAAGAAACCTCGACAACAGTGGACCGTGGGAGGGGGTCGCATGATTGGCCGCACTGGCGAGGGAAGTGCGGGTCTGACATGGACTGCAGTAGGATCATCAGTCCATCAAGGATGTGATCGACGCTGGCCAAGCTTTGTCCGGAGGATTTCCAATGAGTGTTATTCCGCTCACGTAAAATTTCCCTTGCTTCGAAAGGGTCTGCATAATAATTCTCAGCTGTTTCAGTAATTCCTTACGACAAAGTTAGAGAATCCATTATTCAAAACTTTTCCAACGGATATCTTTATCTTTTAGGGTGAGTCTGCGAATTTTGAAGGGATGTGAAGCCACATGGCGCACGCAGAGTGCGCCAGTTGTGTGCAGCGCGTTCTTTGCGAAAAATCTCAATTCAGGAAAAATCGAGAGGATTCTGGAAAGGGTTTGTTGTGAAATTACAGGGAGGAATTACACTATTCAACAAGAAACGCAGTCTTCAGCGTCAAATTCATAAGCATGTAATCGTCAAAGTTGAGACACGCTAAACAGTTTTACACTTTTGGAAAGAGAAAAGCACGAGGATTTCGAATCTGCTCCCACTTTAGTACGTGATCGCCCCTGAAAGGAGCTATAGTCGTTGGAATAGTGCTAATGCAGCAAAAAAGTAGCATCTACAGAGATCTCGGGTACAAAACACCCGAAGTGCCATTTTTTAAGAATTACCTGCGACATATTAAGCCTGCTTTAGTGACCGTTGTATAGAAAAAATCTTCTAGTTTTGTATGCCATATTAACTTTTCGAATTTGACGAAAATGAAGCAAGTTGTTGCTTCGGGAAAGTGTAAAAACTCGTGCTCATCTCGAATTTTCCTCGTTAATTGATCTAAATTTGTTATTTTCGTATATTTCCAATTTCATGTATGCCTGCAAGGACAGCCTGCTTTCAAATTGAAAAATCATCCTCCTTTAAGAAGTTTAATCATACAAATGTGTCCAAATTCCGACAGCAGATAAGCTGCTCCAAGGTCAACGCCCCAAATCAATCAATACACAGTTGGCTGAAGTGGTTACAAGGCTTCTGTCAACCAAATGTTAGACGTATAGATTGAAAGCATATATATATGTGTGCAAGACTAAGACTTGGTAAGCCTTTCAAAGAAAAATTAATATAAAGAGATGCTGCACAGCATGTCATTTTTGGCGATCAGTTTGTCGTTTTTTGCTCCGTTTACCAGTAGGATTAATTTGATTTTTTTTTCTCTAATTATTTTAATTACTGAGCGACTTTTACGGTGATAGGTGGGCAGCCGGGTTTCCTTTTTGGACGAAAAGTTTTCGAGGAGGGCAAAACAACTTTGTCGCACTTCACTTTGTGGAGGAGAGTCGCTTCAAGCACTTCGGCCGTTGCAGATAGGGAGGGGTCGTATTTCAAAAATTCCCTCGACGCTTCGCTTAACCCTGAACGAGAGATGGTTCAGGGCGCGGACACCCGCTCCCCATTCCCCTTGGATGGTGGATATTTCGATGATTCGCACGATTGAAGACAGAGATCTAATTGAAAGATTGCGAACTTAGCGACGGGAAAGCGATTAGAACAAAATGGGGCAAGAGGGATTCGCCTAGTCAATTTTCTACCGGACCACGCAAATTTTGAGCCGGGTAGTGGTGTAGTGGCACAATGGCACTCTTACCGGGCGCGAGCGGTCCGGGATCAAATCCTGGGTCGCCCCAGGCCAACCAAGCCTTCCATCCCTCCGGGGTCGGTTAATTGGTACCAGACTTGTCTGGGAGGATAAAAACACTGACTTGTACATCGGCTGGCCCCCGCAAGTCATTGTATAGGCCACATCGCATTCAAACGCCACTACGAATGTACAAATGGAAGTAGAATGCGTGCCGCATCCCAAAAAGGGATTGATCAACGGCAAATGCTTTATCCTTTTATCCTTTATATGCAAATTTGCATTGCGGACAGAAAAGCCTACGCTGAACGTATACTGCTCGCCCAAAAGAAAACCGTCCACTCGGGTGCACCGAGCGCACTCAACCATACGTCTTCCCTCCTGCGCGTGTCACATCAATAAATGAAAAACCAGTGAAAAAGCAAATTTACCTCCTAGATCTCCTGTTTTTGCTGATCCGTCGGCAATTGAATCAAATACTGCACGCTCAATTTTCTGGGCATACGAGTTCATGTTCATGTATCTTAGCATCATAACAGCTGATAATAACAGAGCCGTTGGGTTAGCTTTATCTTGGCCGGCAATATCTGGGTGCAGTACGTTGACGATCTTGCGAAATTTCAAATTAGAAGCGGGACAAAAAACTTTGGGTGTCATTGGATCTATACCAACTATAAGGCGCTAGCATGCACGGTGAAAAATCTTACTGCATCTTTCAACTTTCTACTGATATGCTCTCAGCCCGAAAAACAAGCTCAGCATCACAGTCTGCAATACAAAGTTGCCTTATAATTCGTGCTTGCTAATCCTAGTGTGGATAATTCGCTAATTGGGATTTCATAATCTTTTCAACTTCGATAAGGCGTAGAGGTCGCAAAACTGCGCAAATTTTCCACGTAACAGGGAGAGCCCACGAAAACGACTCATTCTGGTTATGGGTAGTTGTGCCCGACTACTCGAAGGTTATCTCATGTTCTCTGCCGCGGATGGACATAGCAAAGACGGTTAGAGAACAACAGTTGAGCCAGCTTTCGAGGTATTCGATTCAGTGGACCGCGTTGCCCAGGTACGTCGAGGTGTAATTCACGAATAACAACAAAAAGCTTGGAAAGTAGAAAAAAGCGCGTGTGCGAAAAAATCGACTGAGCATGTATGGGCCATGTGCGTCCCGTGCAGGCCCACTGCAAACAATTTGCGGGCCATATGTGGCTCACATTGGATAACAACTACTCTCAGAGAGAGAACTCAAAAAAGATTATTAAAAGCACAACTGTCTAATAGGAAGGCTAAAACCTACTCAAATACAGCCGCGTCCTCGCCAATGTTTCCAGACGGTGTGACTCCAAGCCCTCCTACCAAACCTGCACACAAGTCCGACAGAATATCACCATAAAGATTCGGCATAACGAGGACGTCATATTGACTTGGATCTTGCACCATGTTCAAGCAAACCGTGTCGAGATAGGACTCCTTGAATGAACTTCTTTCAATTTGAAAATTAATAAAAATAATGATAAAAGTAGAAGATAAGGATCGAAGACACATCACGGGTGTGACGTTGCTCCTCCCCTCCCAACTTGCTGTTACGCCTGAACACGTCCCAACCTTGAATTTAATATCAGGGTACTGTGATGCCTGCTCTCGGCAAATGTGCAAAAACAATCCATCGGACATGCGCATGATATTGGCTGGAAAGGACAATTAAAATACTGAATGAAGAAAGCAAGATTCAAGCGAGAAAGGAGACATACCTTTATGAACTGCAGTCACAGTTTTTCGTGAATTTTGTCGAGCATACTCAAATGCGTATTTGGCGACACGACGAGACGCATCTTCGGTAATCAATTTGATCGACTGGACGACACCAGGAACTATCTGTAACAAAATTCTAATGACAAAAATGAAGCTAGCAAGGTTCTAATGCTCGATCTGTCGCGAAAATAGAGCCACAGAAGGTCATCACAGAAGCGGCCGATCAACCGCAGGCGGGTCAACCCGATGGTTGAGACATTTCCAAGATTTTATTACCCCTCCTCCCATCATCTTACAAGTTAGAGGCAGCAGTTATGCCTACACTACGTATGTATTTGTACCGATTAGAACGTTGCCCCGACAGGTGTCTGAATTGCTAAGCTTGTTCAGAGCGGAGAAAATTTATTGATGAGCCCCTGATCCTTACAGCATGATCGTCAAATCGACCAAATTCTGAGCCACCACAAAAAAAAGCGGTCCTAAAACTAACCTCGTGCTCAATTCCAGAATACTCGCCTTCCGTGTTTTCACGAATGGTCACCACATCAACATTGTCGTAAAGCGTTTTGTGACCTTCAAGTGATCGACACGGGCGAACATTTGCATAAAGGTTAAACTCTCTGAAAATATGTGAGAAATTACGTGACCAACTGACTACCAAGGTAAGACACGTTGAGGAAAAGCACCTCACTGAACCTTTACTGCATAAACATGAACTCACTTGCGAACCGCAAGATTGAGAGATCGATGACCTTTGCCAATAGGAGTTTCCAAAGGTCCTTTGAGACCAACCTATAACTGACAGCTTTCAATTGTAAAATATTTTTTCGAAAAGAACGTGATTCAGACTGAAAACAATTATGGCCAGAGTGATCAAAACACTGCTTGACGCGAACAAACCGTCACTTATACGGTTGTGTCAAGTGGGGTACAATGTGACTCGAACGCAGATCGTATCCCTGCTACTCGTTTTATTGAGCCTCTTCTTTTCGGAATCTTTTTTTAGTTATTTTAGAAACCACATCTCAACAATATATTCACAAGAAACGAGCTCCATAGGATGTTTTGACTGCTTCAGCTCAGCGAAAAGTCTCCAAGTCGTAGGCACTTTTCAGTTCGGTACATTTCTCAGGTTTTTTTGTTATACTACACAGCTCCAGAAAAGGTAAAAAAAAAACTCTAAAGATTGAATTGTTTGCGTACTTATCGAGAGTCAAAAAAATGTTTTTAGCTCGAGTGGATGTGTCCGTTCATGTTGAGTTTTTGTTGTAGACAATCGCTTCAAATCCAAATTCCAAAAGAAAAACGTGACCTCGTGGAAGAGCATGATACCAATGCGAACCAAATGGCTGCACCCGAAAAGAAAACGTGTTCGTCCCACACGGAAAGAGAAGCTCAAATCCGCGTTGCCAATAAGTTTAAATGTATGCTTATAAAACATTACGATGGGAAACACTATGATCTTGGGCCGTTTTGTAACCAACAAATGCAATCTGCATTTCGCATATGCTCCGTTTCAAAACATAGAAAGCACAGCGCTCTAATGGTAAGTGAATAGGGAATTAGGAGTTACCTTTCCTAGAGAAATGGAAAGTCAACCAATGGCGTCATTCATTGGAAGGTGTACAGTCGATATCCGAAAGTTGGGGTAGGCGTGTCACCGGAAGTGACGTGCACTTGATAGAAGTTGCGTGGATAAGCTGTTGCCAGCATGCTTTGCTGATATCCAGCGATGTATGTTGGAAGCAGCTTATCCACATAGCTTCTATCAAGTGCACGTCACTTCCGGTGACACGCCTACCCCAACTCACGATATCGAGTATATATGGATAAAACTACATAGGAACAAAAGTGCAGGCAACTTTACTATTCAATCGAATAACTAAACTAAAAAGCAAATGGAAAGTTTAAGAGAGATGTGCACGCTCGTGATACTAACATACCTTATTAGTGTGCATCAATTCGATACATCGTGCAGGAATCCGGAACACGCCATCTCCTTTGACTGGCGTCACATCTACGGGGTCCCATTCGATAGGAGTTTTAGCTGCCTTAAATTAGACAGCAGAATGATCCACTAGAATGCAACACAATTAGAAGTTAAGCTTAAAACGTTTTTAGAAAGCTGTGAAATACCTCGAATATTTCTTGAACGGATTTCGAAATTTCCGGACCAATTCCGTCACCTGGAATGAGTACAACACGCCGCACCTAAAATCCAATAGAGTAATCACCAGCAACTTGAAAAAGAGGAATGAAAAAGGTAGCAGACTTACATCGGTGGACAAACTGCGTGACCCAATTTGAGAGACAGAACCAACCTTCCCCAGACATTTGGCCAGCATTTTCCTGATGATTAAAACAAGATTTTACGAAGAAAAGAGAAAACAAACACACGGACAAAAAAGACGAAGCAGATGTGGATTTGTAAGAGCTGATAGAGGTAGAATTTGCGTCTACCAGTAACCAGTAAAAAATAGGCGACTGATTCACGGCAAAATCACTTTTGGACGCGTTTTCATTAGAAAGTAGGGGTTATGGTGCAAGGGAACCTCGGGTACACTGATGATCAGCGGCGGCTTCAGGTTTCCACAGCGAAAAATGCTTCGCGCTGCAAAATGCAAAGAAATCGCTTTCTGTCCTAGCTAATCAAACCCGTGGTGCAGTAGTTCATGTTGCCTACATTTACCCGAATATTTGGGATCCTTGCTCCTGCTAACCATTGATGAGGGATCAAGGGATCATTGTAGGCGACACTGACTATAGCACCCCATCATTCCCTTTGATTTGATGAGCGCCTCATTTTGCAGTGTGCGTGTCATGAGATTACCAAATAGGGGAAAAGACGATATCAATGGCCAAGTGAAAAGAATCGCCGATAAATGCATGATATGATTGGGATTACTCTCACCCTAGTCGCCAAATTTTGCATCGACTGAGTGATTTCAAAAAACGCCCTAGTTTTGTCGTAATATCATTGAATAAAAAAAGACGAGTGCTTTCAGACTCTTCTGTTAACTCTATGAGTTTTTTTCAATGTTTTTTCTCCTTTCTTTGTCGTTGTATGGTTTTATATTACTAACCTCGCACCAGTGTTAATGGCGCACCTATGTGCAATAAATAAATAAATAAATAAATAAAT